GGAGAGTCGCAGTATAAAGCCAGGTTAGTTGCTCTAGGATTTACTCAGAGGAAGGGATTACACTTCACGGAGGTGTATTCGCCAACGTCACGAGCGGAGACTCTGAGAACGCTTTTAGCTTGTGCGGCACAGAGAGGCTGGAAGGTAAACCACTTTGATGTGGATGTTGCCTACCTTAACTCAGATCTCCAGGAGGAGCTGTACATGATTCCTCCTCCGGGGTTTGAGAACTCAAGGCAGGATGTTGTGTGGAGATTGCACAAATCCATCTATGGATTACGTCAATCTGCTAGAAACTGGAACATGTGCCTGAATGAAGCTTTGGAGAAGCTAGGTTTCAGGAAGAGTCTTGCTGATAGTTGCCTGTTCCTTAGAGGATCAGGAGACTCACAGGAACTGGTGCTGATTTGGGTTGATGACGTGCTTTTCTTCTCAGAAACAGATGAACAGGCGGAGCAGTTTGCCAAAGAGCTAGGTAAACGGTTCAAGCCTAAACAGCTTGGTGCTGTCAAAACCTATCTAGGTGTCAATGTTGAGCGTGCACAGGATGGAAGTTTTTTGCTCAGCCAGAGAGGTAAAATTGAGCAACTGCTTCAGAAGTTCAGGATGAGTGATTGTGCAGGAGTGAGAAGTCCTATGGAGACTAGTTTTGTGAAGGACAGCCAGCAAGCAGAACGCGCTGCGTTCGAAAATACTGAAGTGTTTCAGTCAGCTCTAGGGAGTTTGTTGTACTTGTCCCAGTGGAGCAGACCTGATATAGCGTTTGCTGTCAATCTGCTCAGCAGGGAGGCATCAAACCCTAGTGTGCAAGCCTGGAATGGCATCAAGAGAGTTCTGAGATATTTGCAGGAGACCAAAGACTTTTGTCTTAGGTTGCCAGCACAAGGAGAAGTCAAACTGACTTGCTTTGTGGACTCGGATTGGGCTAATCTTGAGGATCGCAAGTCTGTGTCTGGCCTAGTGGTGAAGTTTGGGAACTCAGTAGTTGGATGGAGGTCCAAGAAGCAAAGTCTTATAGCGCTCTCATCCACTGAGGCTGAGTTTAGTGCTCTTTCAGAGATGTGCAGAGAAGTAGAGTTCTATGCTTGTTTGGTGCAGGAACTCTGCGAAGTGGATTGTCTGCCGATACGTGTTTTCGAGGACAATCAACCATGCCTACGTTTGGCAGAGTCAGGTCAGTTCAAGGCCAGAACGAAACACCTAGACATTCGCTTTCGGAATGTGTGCCAGAGTGTTCAGGAGGGATTAGTTGCGCTGAAGTATTGTCCCTCTGCCAAGAACCTAGCTGATGGGTTCACGAAGCCACTCACCTTCCAAAGACATGGGGAGTTTTGTGAAGGTCTGGGTTTGGGACGACCAAGGGTCGATTCTCCCCTCAGGCGCGAGACAAGAGGGGTGTTGGGTGTAGTGAAGGGTTAACCTTCTGTGTCTCGAGGCTGAGAGGAGGCGCTTACAAGGGAAGTAAGCCAGGACGTGACGAAAGCAGCTTGGAATGCTGTGAGCTGAGTGGAAAGTGAAAGCAGCTTAGCTACGCAGCTGCAAGCTGAGAGAGAGTCGCAAAATGCAGCTCGAGTCAGATGGATTGTAAATATGCTATTTTTGAGCAAATAAAGTGCTATTAGGAAAGAAGAAACGTGTGGGACCTATTTACTGACTGCCCTTTCTACACGAACTGCTGTGCAATTCTGCTAATTGCTTTACGACCTGCAGAGGTGCAGGGGAGCGTGCCGGACCACAACAATAAAGCAATAAATCTTATCCTAACAGGGAGCTCTCCCACCCCAGCCGCTCCAGGATGGGAAGTGCGTCCCAGGGGAAGCGGGATTCAGGCGGAGGAGGACGTCGGGTTGGGTGGGGCTTGCCAGGAGCAGCACGATGTCCCTCCAACCCCCAGCTTCCACTCTCCAGGCAGGCGCCCAACGTGGCCAGCTGACAAGGGCTCTTTCTTACTCCAGCCTTGGCGTGCAGATCCCGGGTTCAGCCCCAGATCCAGGTTCTGATATTATGAGGAGGAAACATCGCTCTGCACCTTTCCCACATCATGCATACTTCTATGATGTCCCCACTTTCCCCCCTCTTGCAAAGCCCCAAAGCCTCCTACATTGTAAGCCTTCCTTACAGGGGAATCATCAGAACCACCTGTGCTGCAGAGCTTCTGGCTGAAAGGTGACTCATGGAGATTTGCAATGACTGCTGCAATGCACCCCTAATGATTCAGATTGATCATTATAGAGTCATTGTGTTTATTTGTTGTTGATATATTAAATTTGTATAATCTTAGAAGCGGTATGGCTGTGAGTACCATGAAGGGAGCCTGCACTTTGTGATTTGCAGGTTAGGAAGGAGGAAGAGGCAAAGATCCTTTCCCCAGTAAAACATGTTTGCACCCAGGGTGTTTTCAGACTGTCAATATTTTGTGGGATTGATTCAGGTCCAGCCCAGAACTTCAGCTTTTCCAATGAGAATGGATTAAAGTACTCTGACCATTCCCTTAGTAGAGTCTAACCACTGTGTTAAGTTTTGGGCAAGACATAAACACAAAACAAACAAGTGGTCGTCTCCTCCAGAGGAACCCCTGCACTGTAAATATATTGACAGCACACTTACAGGTCTTTGGCATTGGCATTCCAGAACTGTGAAGGTTGCCTCAACTGTTGAGCAACACAGCTAAGGAAGAAGGAGTGGAGTGTCTCCGGGGGGAGCATAGCTCCCATTCCCTTCCAAACACACAGACAGGACAGTGTGGTGGCACCCAGGGAATAGTTGCAGCAGCCAGATGGCTGGCTGAAACACACACCATTGCACTCTTTTTGAATGGCATTCAATCTGAATCAGCCAGCTAGTGAACTTGGTGCTCCTGTGCAACAAACCCACTACAAAATTGCTCTTCCCCGCACACTTCCAGGTCCCCCCAGCTGGGCTTTTTGCAAGAAGAAAAGTGATAGGTAAATGCCCTGGAAAGCTTGACTGCATGTAGTATCCCCACCCCACAAACAAATCAGGATGAATGCTCAAGAAACAGGTCGCCTGGAATGATCTTTCTGCATATTCTTCCTTCTGAGCACCTCACAAGTAGCATACTGCACGCACTTTGTCCCCCGAACTTCTATGTTACACACACACACGTGTGAATCTAGGCAACCCTAGTCATTGTTGGAATGGGGTCATCCAGAGTTTTGGAGTACATTGTCAGCAATATGTTGCTGATACACAGCTCTGCTTCATCTTGACACCTGTGGCTGTGGCAGAGGGTGCAATGTTTTCATCTAATGGTCAGCTCTACTTGGAGAGACCGTGGGAAATGAGCTCTCTGCATTTTCTTCCTCCTGAACACCCAGAAGTAGACCCAAATTTCTATTTCCTACGCGCAAGCACATATGCACACACACGAGGTTCCAGGGCTTCCAGGCACTTTCCCAGGATTCCCGTTTCCTTCAGAATGAGGCACAGCAGAGACGTGCATTGTATATTACATTGAAATCTTTTAATAAAAATTGATTTTTAAAAAAGAACTTGGAGACAGGGTTAGCGTCCTTGAGGTCCTGAACATCTGCTGGTGGGCGGGTGCTGTAGCATGAGAAGATTTTATCTCACTCAGTTTTCAGACAAAACAAAATCAGGCAGAAGCACAAGAAAGATGTTGTACAGGAATAGCAAGCAGACAGTTAGACCTTCACCACTTTGGATTCAATTCCAAGAGAGTTCATTTCAATTTAATGTAACTTAATTCATCCTATATCATTTCTACCTCACTTGATTTAAAAAAAAAACTTAAAGCAAGTTTACAAAAACTCCTCATGGAAATGTTTGATGATCCAGTGAAATACAGGCACACATTTCAAAATAGTGCCATGACAATTAAACTCAGCAGTAAGCAAAAGGCTTTCCACACCCTGCAGCCTTCCACATGTCTTCCAAAGGCCCCTAAACCTGAAGGCTTTACGGAGGTGTGGGGGAGAGTACAGTGAAGGCAGCTGCCTGGGGTAGAAGATGCCAAGCAAGCCAAGGTGCTTGAAATACCTGCAGCGCCACATCTGCATCTCCTCCACAGGTGTCTCAAAAGACCCCTCACCTGTCCTATCTGTATATCACAAATGGCCAAGCATCAGCAAAGCCTGCACACTCTCTCCATCCCTGGAAGTCACATTTCACCGTGACACCAACCTGGGAAGGGTAGCTCATGCTGCAGAATGAATTTCCAAAGCTTCTACACTTAGGCAGGAATAAGAAGATAGATGCACAAATATAGGATGGGGACATCTGGTTTGACAGCAGCGCATGTGAAAAAGATCTAGGGGTCTTCTTGGGCCTCAAGCTTAACCTGAGTCCTCATCGTGGAGCAGCAGCAGAAGCGCTAAGGCAATTCTAGATTTTATCCACAGAATCTAGCGTTCAGATCAGGGGAAGTAACAGTACCCCTCAATTCTGAGCTGCTTCCCTTCATAGCACTGAGCTCCAGTGCAACTCCTTCCTGACCCAGGAAGCAGACGCCAGCTTCCCAACAGCCCTGGAACTGCCCCCATCTCCCCTCCAACCTCTTGTGGGCCTGGCCCAGTTCCATGCTGTTAGGACCTCCGTGTAAAATTGTTGCTCCAAGACACAGAATGTCACTGGAGATGAGCTTTTGGGGAGAAGCAGCATGTGGGGAGGTTGCTTTCCTGCCTGGCTTGTGGGCTTCCCAGAGGCATCTAGTCAGCCAGTGTGTGGAACAGGAGATTGATGTGTTTCTTACATCATCTCCAATGGCTAGACTTCACTCCGAAGGGGGCTCCCAAGCCAAAGTGGATGGGCATTGCCTTACAATTGGTGTGTGTGATTGATTATGCAAGGAGAGGCTTACTTCATGTTAGCAACCCTGGTGGAGGTCAAGCATTATTCTCCCACCGTTCCTCCATGGAGCTCAAGGGTCTTCCCCCTCCTCATTTTATGCTCACAACAACCCTGTGAGGCAGGTTAGGCTGAGAGGCAGGAACTGGCCCAAGCTCACCCAGACAGCTTCATGGTTGTGTGGGGATTTGAACCCTGGCCTTCTAGGTCCCAGCCCAACACTCTACCCACTACACCACACAGCCAGCCCCCCCCCAGTCAGGAGTCCAATTCCCAGAAGCCTCAGCCAGTACTGCCCTGTGATGCTGGAGCTGTGGAAATGCATTGCCACCCATTGGGACTCTTTTTCTGCTTCAGCAAGTCGGTCTCCTAGCTTCTCCTTGAGGGCTTTTAGGCCAGAATAAAGGAAAGTCCAGTGGACAAATAACAGCAGGAACCTAGGTGAATGGCTAGAGGAGAGGATTGCTGATGGCTCTAGATATAATGACTAGGCTCTGCCTCCACTGTTGGAGGCAGTGGTGCCTCTGCATCCTAGTTGCTAGAAACCACAGGAGGAGAGAGCGGTCTTGTGTGCGAATCCTCCTTGTGGGTTGGTCTCTGGGTGAACAGGATGCTGGAATGAATGCTGGACTGAACGGGCCACTGGCCTGATCCAGAAGACTCTTTGGATGTTCACTGCTGAGGTTCTCATGAGAGATCTTCCACGGTGCAGCAGGGAGGGTTCTGGAACTGGGATGAAGGAAATTGCAAGACGTTGGCCAGTACAAACGTTTAGATCGTCATGCACTTTGCCAGCTGCACACAGATGGTGAGGTTTAACTCTGCTGAAAACAGATCATTTGCATTCTCACACAAATCAGAAAGAGGAAGGATAATGGCAAAATAAAGTAGCTTCTCCTAGTTCTCTAACTCCATCCAAAAGATTATTGGTATAGGAGCTCCAGAGTGGCTGGTGAGAGCCATGTGGTTGAGCTGGAGCAACTAGCTCAACTCTCTCTGCAAGCTGAGTTTCTCAGGTACACCAGGGGTGAGGGGACAATAGCATTGACTACCTATTTCCTCCCAAGGTAAGGGGAAGAGACATGGCTAAGATGGCAGGACAGCTTACTCTATGATGTTAACCCCTTCACGCACTAATTAGACTGAAGCATGTTGGTTATATGAGACTGGTTATCCCACACAACATGCTCTCACGCAACCCATGCCCTCCAACTGAAAACCCATTTCCTGGACAATATCAACATTGTGTTTCCTGCCTGTGAACTGCACAGTGAATATTTTTATTAGAAAAGAAAACAGCCCGGTGTTTCAGCTTCTCAAAGTTGTTTTATTCAGTGCGCTGCTACAGCTTGTCACACCCAAATCCTCCAAAGGAATCTGCCAAAGTGCTTTTCCAGGCAAAAGGGGGCAGAGGGAGAGAAACCAAGAACCTCAAATTCACTAGACCAGGGATGGGGAATTGTGTGGCCCTCTAGATGTTGTTGGATTCCATCACCCCTGACTGTCGGCCATGCTGGCTGAGGCAGAAGGCCATTGGATCTGGCAATATCTGGGAGCCCACAAGATTCCCAGCCTCCGCCCTACACAAACAGTCAGGCACTCAGCTGTGAGGTATGCCTCTTACCGGAGGGAGAGTCACTCCAGAGGCAGCTGTGACATGAGGGTGCTGGATCATGCCTTTGTGGGCACATCTGAGGATTAAAGAGGACCCCCTAGGAAGCATGCTTGGAGATCTTCCTTACCACGTGGCTCTCTCAGTAAAAACACAACAGTACTAACGGCCATATGGAACCACACCTCAAAGCTGGATCAGACTTCCCAGATGCTGTAGCCTACATCAGGAGGAAGACTGGGGCAGAGGAGCCTAGAGTGGGAGTCAGAGTTGCTCTTAGGGCTGCATGTCTGAAGCATGAGCAGAAATCTTTGGGTGTGAGGTTGCATGGGGCTGTCTCTTTGTGTTTTGGTGATGCCAAGCCGCCAGCCAGCCAGAGGCAGGCAACCAAGTGGCTTCAGGGGCAAGCTCCTTTGCAAAGCCAGTCTGACTTCACCAAATGCAATGGCAGAGTGACCATTCAGCCCGTGTTCTGCTTCGCTGTGAAATTGCGTGTGTTCCTCAACGCAGAGAACCTCTTTTTCAACGTCAAGCTGGTCTAAGGAAGAAAAGCATAAGATTTAGTCTTGAATCCCCACACACATGTGCTGGGAGATGCCTGCACACTGCACATGTAAAGCACATCTCCTCCCACCCACACCCCAAAAGTCCTGGGAACAATGGTTTGTTAAGGGTGCTGGGAATCGTAGCACTGTGAAAGGAAAACTAAGGTTCTTAGGATGCTTTGGAGGGGGTGGAATGTTGAATACACAGTGGCCACATGGACGGACAGACACACCCACACCCACACATACCCCAGCATAGCTTCAACTTTTAGCACAAAAAGTCTTCAGCCAGATGTCATGCAACCCTTTGGCAGGGGCAACTTATCATTTTATTGATTTTCCATAACAAACAATTAAAAAGGTGGGCAATCTTGCAAAGGAGTGTTGCCATTTAAACTGCTGGTGTGACGTAGGAACCCGAACAAAGAAAAGGAACAAACTACCCAGAGTCTGCTTCCGATCGCCCTTGTTCTCCACCTCCCTCTATCCTAATCAGCCGCAAACAAGAGTTCATATTTGAAAGCCTTGTTATCACCTCATTCCCTTCAATTACCCAGCTGCTCTGGCAGATGACATCAGTTCCTTCCCGCTCCCAATATTCCTGCTCCTAACCTGGTTAGCCATAGCCCGGAAGCTGAATCTCAGGGGAACGTCTTTGGGCTGGGAAGGGCTCATCTTTTCTGGGCCTCTTCTCCCCCTCAGGAAGGGGTGCTTGGCTTCTGGTCTGTGAAATGCGCTCAAAATGTCAAGATGCCTTCTTTCCAGGGAGCCAAGGAAGAAGGGTGGAATTTGAAATACCTCCAAACCTTCCCACGTCAGAGATGCAGGAGTTGCGTCACCTCCAACTTCCTCAGGGATGAAGCAGCTACGAAAAACGAAACATCCCACCTGGGCACGGTTTCTGAGAGAGCAACAGCAGAAGACTCTGGCAAGATGAGCATTTGCCCAGTGGATTCTGGCCGGTCCGTGAGGGCAGACAGGGGATGGCTGCAGTGGCCGCCAGCCCCTTCCCACTCCATCTCAGATACAGAACACATTTGCTCTGCCACTCCTTGGCTCGGGCGCCACCTACTGTTGGCCTCCTTGCGTTCCACCCTCCCAGTCCCAATGAGCACCATGCACCCCTGGTCCAGAGGCGCAGAGCAGTAGTTAGGTGATCTTGCGCCCCGGCAAAACCGTCCAGATTGCGCCCCCTTGCCACGAACAAGTTAGCTCTTCTTTCCTCCGCTCGTCCAACCCCCCCCTCCACCCATTCAATTCACCCTGGAAGTACAAGTATCGAAAAGTAAAATGTTAGAGGTTTCCCCCCACCCCATAGCAATATAATTGGATTCAGCTAGCTGGTCAGTCTACATTCGGTTTCACTCCTGGCTTCTTGTTAAATTAATACTGCATCAGAAACCTCCCAAGCAGATATCCAAAGTTCTTTGACATTTCTCCAGTTGTTAATGAGATGTCTCTTCTAGTCCAGGGGAGTCTTTTGATCTTCTTCCAGGAAACCAAGAGTCGAAAGCCTTGATTTTCCCTTTTTTTTCTTTTTTTCAGTCATTTCCACACACTTAGTCATTATTAGAGTTATTAAAACCTGATAATATAAACAAATGCAAAATTTTTAGTCTCCCTTGCTTTCCTGCTGACCTTCAGCTTAAACACAAACTGCTCTGGAGTGAGAAAAACCCATCACACTCGAAAAGCCCAGCTGGAGGGACCTGGAAGTGTGTGAGGAAGAGCAATTTTGTAGTGGGTTTGTTGCACAGGAGCACCAAGTTCACTAACTGGCTGATTCAGATTGAATGCCATTCAAAAAGAGTGCAATGGTGTGTGTTTCAGCCAGCCATCCGGCTGCTGCAACTATTCCCTGGGTGCCACCACACTGTCCTGTCTGTGTGTTTGGAAGGGAATGGGAGCTATGCTCCCCCCGGAGACACTCCACTTCTTCTTCCTTAGCTGTGCTGCTCAACAGTTGAGGCAACCTTCACAGTTCTGGGATGCCGAGGAAGCGAACTAATAGTCACGTTCATCTGTACTGGCTCAGTATGACCTATTCTGACAGATGCTGCCTTTCATATTCACGCCCAACGCCCAAGAGCCTTTCCGCTCCAGAGATCTGGGGCTGAACCCGGGATCTGCACTCCAAGGCTGGAGTAAGAAAGAGCCCTTGCGTGCTGGCCACGTTGGGCGCCTGCCTGGAGAGTGGAAGCTGGGGGTTGGAGGGACATCGTGCTGCTCCTGGCAAGCCCCACCCAACCCGACGTCCTCCTCCGCCTGAATCCCGCTTCCCCTGGGACGCACTTCCCATCCTGGAGCGGTTGGGGTGGGAGAGCTCCGCACCCCCCTTTCCAGACTCTCTTCGTTCTTCTTCTTCATGCCTCGGGTGTTTTCCTGAGTGTATCTTCAGAACAACCCTCTGTGAGGGAGGCTAAGCTGGCCCAAGGACTGGCCCAAGAACTGGCCCAAGGTAGCTCAGCCAAGTTGCCAAGGCCAGCATTTAAGGCCGCACACCCTTTCCCCTCAGATGAGAAAGCCGGGATGAGTCATGCTAGCAGCCTGTGGCCTTGATGGGCTTTGAGGCAGCCCAGCCCAGCTGCTATAGTCCACCTCTGAACCGAGGAAGCGCAACTGGAGAGACAGAGCCCAGCACTTTTCTCACGGGACAGAAGCGCACGACTTCCCCCTCCCACTTGCCGCCCGCCCCAGTCTTTCTCCGGCGGCTCAGTTTAGTGCGCCAAGCGGCTCATCCCAGGTGGGAATTCGGGTGGCGCTGCTTGCAGAAGGAGAAGCGGCTGGCGCTGGCAGAAACTCCCATTGTTCTTCTCAGGTAGGACTTCCGGGATCCAGACGAACGTTTTACCAAAAAGTATGGCTTGACTTCTGATTTCCCATTTAAAGGAAGGCAAAACGACCCACGTTTGGCGGACAGGTGAAAAAAACCCACAAATTACATTTAAACTTCTGTGAGATGCAAAGGAAAGCTTGCTTTTTAAACTTGTATTTACAGCTTGTTGCTTGGTGCAGTTAACGTAATGGGGATATTGATAAAGAAGATACTTGTAATCAGAAGGTTATGATTTAAGGTAAGGTTACCAGATTTTTTTCAAAGAATCTGGGGACACTTTTTTTTTTCAAAAAAGAAAAAAATGTTATTTTATTAAAATCATTTTTTTAAAAAATAAGAAGTAATACCTTCTCTTCTGGGTCTCCTCTGTCGCGTGGCCTTCCTCTGGACACCAGCCTGATCCCTTGGAGTGCTATCTGCCGTGGAGTAGGCTCGGGTCGGGTTGGGCCTGGGCTCGGCCCCATGTCCTTGCCCTCCTGGTGCTCTCCTACCTCTCTTCCTCAGCGGCCGCAAGGTCGGGGCTCCCCTCTTTTTTCTCCTCCCTCTTTCTCTCTCTTCCTTCTCCTTCTCCTTTCCTCCTTCTCCCTGGGTTGGCTCCGGGGTTTTTACTGGCCCTGGAGCGCCGCTGGGCAGTCGGCCACGTGGCCGGGCGCTCTCGCTCCCGCCTCGATTTGGGTACTGGGTGGGTGTCAGCGGTTCCCCCAGTTGACGCGCCGGGCATCCCTGGTTCCCCCTCGGCAGTGGCAGCGCAGGCGGCAGTCTCAGCAGCCCGCAGCCAGCCTGGTAGTGCACTTGGCTCTGGCTGGCTTCAGGAGCTGCTCATTGCCGTGGCACCCACCATTTTGCTCGCCGGAAGTCCCCATATGATGTGTCTTGTGCCGTTGAACCAATCACGCAACATTCCTTCCCTACTAATAAATCTACAACACTTAAAATATAAATCTGGGGACCTTATAGGAAATCCGGGGACGGATTTTGTTGGGGACAGATATGTAAATCCGGGGACTGTCCCCGGGAGTCGGGGACATCTGGTAATCATTCCGTAATAGGGCTTCTCCTGCCTTTGCCAGTATGTCAGCCTTCTCAGCCTCCTTAAAGAGGGCGTTCAGAAGCACTTGTACGTCTGGCCATATGGGATTGTGAGTGGAGAAGGTGGCGCAGTCTGGATGAGTCCCTCTGTCTTGCTCTTTGGTCACTGTGACCGAGCACCATTTGGGGCTGATCAGGATCTATGGGGAAGGGGATCCACCCAGAAGCTGTGGAGGGAACGGGAAGAGAAGCTTGGTCAAGAGACTGGCTCATGTCAGAAGGAGGCCTGACTGCATCCTTGGCGAAGCCCAGGGCAGGGCAGGAAGGCAGCATTGCCCAGCGGGAAGGCATTCGGAGGCAAATCATCAGCAAGGAGCAGAAAATCCCCTCCCCTTCCATCAAGAGGACTGAAGAATCTCTAGTCGGCATTCAGGTGAGTTGAGCATCCCAGGTCTCTGGGGTGTTCCTGTCCATTACAAAGCTGACTCGAGGCTCCGTCAACTGAGCCCCTACACTCCTTGCGTACATGAAAGGGGCACAGAAAGGATGGGAGGCAGCCTTTTCCTGGAGCCGTCTTACCTGCAGCAGTTCACTCGCTGGCTGCTGACCCTTTCCTCCATCACCTGGATGATCCTCTCAAGAGAGGAGAGTTTCCTGCAGAGTCTGGCCAGCTGCTCATCCCTTCTCCCTGCAATCTCCTTCTCCACCTCTTCCACATGATTCAGCAGACGCTTTTCTTCTTCTTCTTCCAAGAACTGGTGCAGTTGTCTGAACTTCTCCACAGTCTGCAGCCTCTCCGTTTCTGAGGAGGTCGGAGTGAGGAAGAGGGTCAGCCTTCAAAACATCAGCAAGAGAATTAGGATTTGAATTGAAGTGCTTCCACCCTCTCAGCTCACAAGTCCTCAAGCTTCTCCTTGACTGCTTTTCACATAATAAACAACAATGGGAAATAAACTCCATTTAGCTGCATTCAAAGGTGAACTTACCTAATTCGCAATTCTTGGAAAAATATGGAGACCAAAACAACAATCTTTTGAAATTCACACCTCTGAATTTTTCAAGGTTGACCCAGCCAGGTAATGTTCACAAAAAATGTATTTATGAGGGTAAAGCACGTATCAAAATATTTATATGAGAAGGTAGCCACCCTAGCATTTGATTCATTTTCAGAATAATAAATAAATAAGCCGATATGGAAAAAGGAGAAATGGGGAGAAGTTGAAATGGGCAGATTTCCCCATCCCTCCTCAGTCCGGACTTGCTTCTTGAAGTGCTTGTTCCCTCACTAGTAACAATAGGGACACTTCCAAGGAGGTCTTTGCTTTTCTTGGCCAGGTCTGCTTGATAGGCCAGAATTTCCCCTCTCTCTTTCCTCCGAATCTCCAGGCGGCGACAGATCTCTCCCTGACAAGAAAAGGGAAAACTCAGCTTTGATTGAGACACAAAGAGAGGAGATGAATATTATACTGGCTTCTTGGGTCCAGTGGCCTTGCTATAATAGCAAAGTAATTGACTGGAAGAAAGAAAAGTACAGAACACATACATAAATACCGTAAGTAGTTCTCATCACAAAAGAATATGCAGGTAAACCCATGAACAGCCAGGTAAACCCATCAACAGGTTTCCTGCCAGACAGGAGTCTGTTGTAGGCCGCCCCTTCTGTGATGTATGTATGATGTATGGAGGGGTGGTCTTGGGCTCCACGGTGGGCAATTTCAAATGTCTATATAAGGACTTGGTTTGGGGTCTCCTCCTCCTTCCTGCGTGGGGGGGGGTGTGAGCACCCTGTTGCAACAGTTAATAAAGATCTGGCTTACTAGCTGCTTTGCTTCTCAATATTCTCTGGTTGGCCTCTGTTATTTTCTCCTACCGATAGAGAAGCTACAAAAGGACTCTATATGGGCTCTGAGGTACCCCAGAAGGGAAAAGGAGCCGTTTTTTCCTTATAACACTGGCCTCCAGTCCCCACCCCCTTGCAACTGACCCCTTGCTGCTATCTGCTTTGCAGGGCATTGAGGAGGCATCCTGCTAGCCAAAGGAGACATGTGCAATTCAGTTTTGTAGTGTTCTAAATATGTACAAAGCAACCTTGCTGGGGGATGTGGATGAGGTTAACCCTTTCTCTCCCTGCCATGGTCCCAACCCAAATCTTTGAAGCTGCTGTATTTCAAGGGAAGATCCCTTGGCCCCCCTGGCAGAGAGAAAGACTTCGACTCCCTCCTCCCAGCCATCCCAGCAGACCTCAGGCTTCCCCTTGGCTGCTTCTAAGGTAAAAAACAACCACCAATGAATACCATGCCTACTTTGGATCTGAGAATTCAGAAGATAACCTGCCAAGAAGAATACACAGCTATTTCTCCCCCTCAAGGTACCTTGTATTCCTCGACAGCCTCTCTTCCAGAGGAATCACCTCGTGGTGTTTGTGCTTCTTGGATCTGCCCCAAACCACACAGATGGGGGCTTCATCCTCCTTGCAAAAGAGTTTCAGGGGCTCCTGGTGCTTCTCACAGACTCCTCCTTTCCCTCTTGAAGACTGAGAGTCTTGGCTACTTTGATAAAGGTAGCCAATTGCCGATTGCGGACGAGGCTCATTCTCTGGACTCCAACTCGGCCTTGAGGACAGGAAGCCAGCCTTCTTTTTGCCCCGCTGCACTGGATCAGGCCGGACCAGCAGAAGTTGTGCCCACACTCTGGGATGGTCCCTGTGTCGTAAGAGAGTCAGGGTCAGAGAGGGGAATAACGGAGAAGGACCCTACCAATATCAAATAGATCGTATTTGCCTTGGGGAATGGATCGTTTTTCGCTGTATCAAATTGTATCGTTATTGCTGTATCTTTCTCATTGACTTTAAGAATGGATCTGAATGTATTTTTCGACTCAAATGTATTTTTCCTCAAAATGCTGTACTTTTCTAAATGTATCCAAATTTATCCGAATGGGTTTTTGTATTTCCCCCCAAACTCATCGCCTAGAGAATGTTCCTTAAATGTAACAATCACTTGTTCCAAATGTATTTGATTCAAATTTATTCGAGTGTATACTTTTATGGGGAAACGTAGCTAGGAAAATGTGGAGATATATATATATATTGCTTATAGCGCCTTTGAACGGTCAACGTGCCACCCTCTATCCTTTCACGAGCTGCCAAAAACACTCTCCACACCACACTGCCATCTACTGGGTCTACAAATAATACCATGAATACACACAAATACAAGCTCTAAAATAAAGTAGTTTTATTTTCCCATAAGTATGCAAACATAAGACTATCACACCCAAATTGATAGCTATGCAGAACAGGATTTTCCCCCCCCTCCCTCCATCGGATAGCTGCCTGCACGGCTGTCATTGAGGGGGGTGGAGGGAGGAACGGGCGGGATCGACACCGGATAGCTGCCTGCCTGCCTGAACATGACATGCACCCGGGGGGCGCTGCTACCGGCGCCCATTGGGAAGGAACAAGACAGGAAAAGGAAGGAAATGGGAGAGGTTTTTTTAAGGCCCCACTTTTCACATGGTGTCCTGTTGTGTGGTCGGAAAGTACTCTTTATTGTTTGATTTGGGTTAATGTCAGAATAAAAGCGAGTTCCTTCAAAATAACACATTCCTTTTATCTTACCAATTTCTCATATTGTAAGAAGCGGAAGAAGAAACTATAGAGAGCATTCATATTTTCCTTCTGATCAATGAAGTCAAACGTTACAATTATCCATTTTAGAATGAGCATCTATAGGGAGAAGACAGATCTCAGTAAGCCAAAGCAAGACCAAGACAACAAACCCCTTCTGGAATATGGTCAGCGTGTACAACATCTAGCTGAATCATCACCAGGATAACTAAGTCAGACTGGGGAAATATCATTCTTCAGAACCAAGACATCATTACCATGCTTTCCAAGTTACCTGAAAGTCACTAGAACACTTGCGAGCACAGAGCCAAGACACAGCTGAAAGAAGAGAATCCTCTGTTATTACGGAAATGGGAATCAGAGTCTTCAGTAGCCTAGTGCTTATCACTGTGCCTGCAAGACATTGAAAGACACTGCTTATCATGCTTAAGATCTTCACTCTTGATAATTTCTCACAAGCTAGACGCAGCCCCGGTTCTTGTTAAGGGAGAAGGCAGGGCAATGCAGCTACTTTGACATACTTTGCTGCCAAGGGGAAAGAGAAGCCAAAACATGTTTTCAGCTTAAGCTGAATAAGGTGAAAACTAAAGTTCTGGAGAAAAATCTGAATGTGATTGAGAGAGAGAAGTTTCAGAAGGAGACAGAACTGACACTGGTTAAGAAAGTGAAATATCTAGGGGTCAATATGACTGCTTAGAATGTGAATTTATTTAAGGATAACTATGGAAAATGTTGGACTGAAGTGAAAAAAGACTTAGAAATATGGTCAAATTTGAAGCTATCGTTGCTAGGCCGAATTGCTGTGATAAAAATGAATGTATTGCCAAGAATGTTATTTCTGTTTCAATCACTGCAAATTTTGGACAAAATGGACTGTTTCAAGAAGTGGCAGAGAGATATTTCCAGATTTGTCTGGCAGGGCAAGAAGCCTCGTATAAAATTTAAGATTTTAACTGATGCTAAAGAAAGAGGTGGATTTGCCCTGCCAGACTTAAAACTTTACTATGAATCAGCCGCTTTTTGCTGGCTGAGAGAATGGATGCTTCTTGAAAATACGGATGTTTTGGATTTGGAAGGTTTCAATAATGTATTTGGTTGGCATGCATATTTGTGATATGATAAGGTCAAAGCACACAAAGCGTTCAAAAACCATATTGTAAGAAAAGCACTGTTTAATGTCTGGATAAGATATAAGGATTTGTTAGAAAATAAAACCTTTAAACTGACTAATGTGGGGGAGGGAGACAGTGCTCCTGAAGGTAGGAGTCTATCAATTGATGAAGATGATCATCCAAATGTCGTAGACCAAATGGAGCAAACAGCACGCAGACCTAGTGGTGGAAGGAAAAAATCCTTAAATAAGAGACACGGGGGAATGATTAATGGACTTCAATTTCTGTACACTAATGCGCAAAGCATGGGAAATAAACAAGATGAGCTTGAGCTCTTGGTACAGCAAACTAAATATGACATAATAGGCATCACTGAAACCTGGTGGGATAAGTCCCACGATTGGAATGTAATAATGGGGGATACAATCTATTTCAGAGAAACAGACCAGACAAGAAAGGAGGAGGAGTGGCGTTATATGTCAGGGATGTGTATACCTGTGAAGAGATCCAAGATTTAGAACCTCAAAGCCAAAGTGAGAGCATTTGGGTCAAAATTAAGGGAGAGAAGAATAACAGTGACCTCATATAATGTTGATGACCTGGTTAGTGGGGTAGAAGTGGAAGGATCATTAGGCGCGAGTGATCATGCTCTTCTGAAGTTTACTATACAGCGGAAAGGAGCAGCCAAGCATACTAGGACTCAATTTCTTGACTTTAAGAAAGCTGACTTCATAAAACTTAGGGAAGTGCTGGGTGAGATCCCATGGACAGTAATACTAAAAGGAAAGGGAGTTCATGATGGCTGGGAGTTTGTTAAGAGGGAGATACTAAAAGCACAACGTCAGGCAATACCAATGAGACGGAAACATGGAAGGTGCCTAAAGAAGCCAGGGTGGCTATCTAAAGAACTTTTAACTGAGTTAAGATTAAAAAGGATGTGTACAAAAATGGAAAAGGGGGAAACCACCAAAGAGGAATTCAAACAAATAGCCAGCACGTGTAGACACAAAGTCAGAAAAGCTAAAGCACAGAATGAACTCAGGCTTGCTAGAGAGGTTAAAAGCAACAAAAAAGGCTTTTATGGGTATGTTCGTAGCAAAAGGAAGAACAAAGAAACAGTGGGGTCACTCAGAGGAGAAGATGGTGAAATGCAAACAGGGGACACAGAAAGGGCTGAACTCCTCAATGCCTTCTTTGCCTCAGTCTTCTCCGATAAAGAAAACAATGCCCGACCTGAAGAATTTGGAGCAAATGATTCAGCAGAGGAAACACAGCCCAGAATAACTAAGGAGATAGTACAAGAATACTTGGCTAGTTTAGATGTATTCAAGTCTCCAGGGCCAGATGAACTGCATCCAAGAGTATTAAAAGAACTGGCAGATGTGATCTCAGAACCACTGGCAGTCATCTTTGAGAATTCCTGGAGAACAGGCGAAGTCCCGGCAGACTGGAGGAGGGCAAATGTTGTCCCTATTTTCAAAAAGGGGAAAAGAGAGGACCCAAATAATTACCGCCCAGTCAGTCTGACATCAATACCAGGGAAGATTCTGGAGCAGATCATTAAGCAAACAGTCTGTGAGCACCTAGAAAGGAATGCTGTGATCACCAATAGTCAGCATGGATTTCTGAAAAAAAGTCATGTCAGACTAACCTGATCTCGTTTTTTGACAGAATTACAAGCCTGGTAGATGAAGGGAACGCAGTGGATGTAGCCTACCTTGATTTCAGCAAGGCATTTGACAAGGTGCCCCATGATATTCTTGTAAAGAAGCTGGTAAAATGCGGTCTTGACTATGCTACCACTCAGTGGATTTGTAACTGGCTGACTGACCGAACCCAAAGGGTGCTCATCAATGGTTCCTCTTCATCCTGTAGAAGAGTGACTAGTGGGGTGCCACAGGGTTCTGTCTTGGGCCCGGTCTTATTCAACATCTTTATCAACGACTTGGATGATGGACTCAAGGGCATCCTGATCAAATTTGCAGATGACACCAAACTGGGAGGGGTGGCTAACACCCCAGAGGACAGGATCACACTTCAAAACGACCTTGACAGATTAGAGAACTGGGCAAAAACAAACATGATGAATTTTAACAGGGAGAAATGTAAAGTATTGCACTTGGGCAAAAAAATGAGAGGCACAAATACAAGATGGGTGACACCTGGCTTGAGAGCAGTACATGTGAAAAGGATCTAGGAGTCTTGGTTGACCACAAACTTGACATGAGACAACAGTGTGACGCGGCAGCTAAAAAGCCAATGCAATTCTGGGCTGCATCAATAGGAGTATAGTATCTAGATCAAGGGAAGTAATAGTGCCACTGTATTCTGCTCTGGTCAGACCTCACCTGGAATGCTGTGTCCAGTTCTGGGCACCACAGTTCAAGAAGGACACTGACAAACTGGAACGTGTCCAGAGGAGGGCAACCAAAATGGTCAAAGGCCTGGAAACGATGCCTTATGAGGAACGGCTAAGGGAGCTGGGCATGTTTAGCCTGGAGAAGAGGAGGTTAAGGGGCGATATGATAGCCATGTTCAAATATATAAAAGGATGTCACATAGAGGAGGGAGAAAGGTTGTTTTCTGCTGCTCCAGAGAAGCGGACACGGAGCAATGGATCCAAACTACAAGAAAGAAGATTCCACCTAAACATTAGGAAGAACTTCCTGACAGTAAGAGCTGTTCGACAGTGGAATTTGCTGCCAAGGAGTGTGGTGGAGTCTCCTTCTTTGGAGGTCTTTAAGCAGAGGCTTGACAACCATATGTCAGGAGTGCTCTGATGGTGTTTCCTGCTTGGCAGGGGGTTGGACTCGATGGCCCTTGCGGTCTCTTCCAACTCTATGATTCTATGATTCTATGATTCTATGATTCTAAAACCCCAAGATGGCTGTCACCTATGGAGGCAAAGGCCCAGAAAAAACTCAATATGGAGGCCAAATGGCCGAAGTATTGGGAAATTTTGGAACAAGAGGGTGACAGATTAAAATTACAGAGCTTTGAAAAATTAAAAAAACAGAGTGCAAGATTGGCTCCATTATTATCAAATAATGGAGGCATATAATCAGGATAAAAAACTAGGTTTTCAGGTGGAAAAATCAAAGCTGGAAACAGAATTGTTAGACCCTAAAGTTAAGAATTTGTCAAGAATGTATAACTTGCTGTTGAAATGGAATACTCAGGATGAAATGGTGAAATCTGCTATGATTAAATGGGCACAGGATGTTGGACATAATATTATGATGGCTGACTGGGAACAGTTATGGACCACTGACATGAAGTTTACGGCATGCAATGCCTTAAAAGAGAATTTAATGAAAATGACTTACAGGTGGTACATAACACCAGTCAAGCTTGCAAAAATTTATCATTTGCCCGATAATAAATGTTGGAAATGCAATGAAACTGAAGGTACATTCTTTCACCTTTGGTGGACATGCCCAAAGATTAAGGCATTCTGGGAGATGATCTATAATGAAATGAAAAAGGTATTTAAATATACCTTTTTAAAGAAACCAGAGGCCTTTCTCCTGGGCATGGTGGGCCAATTGGTGCCAAAGAAGGACAGAGTTTTTTTCATGTATGCCACAACAGCAGCAAGAATACTTATCGCAAAGCACTGGAAGACACAAGATCTACCTACCAGGGAAGAATGGCAGATGAAGCTGATGGATTATATGGAATTGGCGGAAATGACTGGCAGAATCCGAGACCAGGGAGAAGAGTCGGTGGAAGAAGATTGGAAAAAAATTAAAGTATATTTACAGAAATATTCTAAAATTAATGAATGTTAGAAGGATGCTGGAAAGAAGCTCTATGACTTTAGCAGAAATATTATAAAGAATTAAGTATGAATAGATCGACATTGGGTAAAGGTGTAAATTTAAGGCTAAATTGCGTTAAGATAAATTATGGAACTAAATTTGAGAAAGAGGGAAAGGACTTGCTGGAATAATTAATTGAACTAGAATACAAAAAAGGAGGTGTGAGGAAGTCGAGGAAATAAGCAAATGAAAGATAAACATATGAAAATACGGGGCCCTTTTTATTTTTGTTTGTTCTTTTTGGGGTTTTTTAAATGCTTTGTTTTTTCTTTTCTTTCTTTTTTTGTATTGTTGATGTTTCGTATTACTGTATTTATTTTTGTTTTTGTGGTTTTGTAATTGTTTATTGCTTGTATTTTTCTTTTGTTCCTCTTTTCTTTTCTTTGTAATGTTTAAACTTTAATAAATATCTTATAAAACAAACAAACAAACATGTTTTCTTTACCAAGCTTGGCACTGAGTGCGATGTTCAGCAAGTTCTGAATTTCTTCTGGTGCCAAGCCTCTCTTTTGCGCAATCTTTTCCACAGTCTCCAAAGGACTCTGCAAAGCTCCCTGCTTCCGTGAGGCACTATCTTGAATTAGGAAAAAGTCAAAGTGTGATTCAAATCCATTCGAAAAACCGTCCTCATGCATGATGGCCTGTCCAATGGCTTGCTTTACCATCAATTGGCAAGGGAGCCCCATTGAGATGCCATGGCATTTGGAAAACTCTGGAATGCTGAACTTGCCTTTGCTTTCTTGCTCCTTCGTTCAGTGGGTAGGTAGGTGTAGGTAGGGGCAAGTCGAAAGCTTCCTTGACATTCCTCAGCCCCAGCCAGCATTGCCAATGGGCAGGATGATGAGAATTGTAGTTCAGCAACGTCTGGAGGGCCAGAGGTTACCCTCACCTGTTTTATCGGTTAGTGTGCTAAGATCTGGGCCCAAGCCCAATTCAGCTGACGGTACTTAACAAGGGCTTGCTTTACACAAAACATGAGAGCTAATACACTATTCTGCTCCAATATACAAAACAGCCCCTTCTCTAGAGAAAGCTCAAGAAAATACAAACTTCGGGCTTTGTAGATGGCTGTAAAGGTTGCTGAAAGGTTTCTAGTTCACTAGCTGGAAACAGCTTCCAGGCTAGGCAGGACCAAGGTTGCTTTGTAACTGTTCCTGTCTGCCTGCTTGCCATCGTGCATATTTGTAAACCATTTCTGCCAAAATATCTACATCTGCAATAGTAGTTTCTGGAAGCAGACCCTGCAAGAGTGCACACTCCATGAAGTCCATATGAAGAGTGTTACGGAATGGAGGGGGGGGCATATGAACAAAGTCTTACTCCCGAGTAAGAGACGTGGAGCCCGAGGAGATGACCTCAAGGGAACCCTGCCACACTAGGGCTCCCCTCGCCCCGTCACAACATTGCACCAAGCACCGCACAAAAGTCCAAAACCCCGAGAAGAAAGCGCCATTTCTGACCCCGTATCCCGATGCTATACACGATCGATGTATTTGATGAATGAACAATGTATTTGCATGAGGATGCGCTCTAGCCAATCAGATGGCATTGAATGTAGCCCTTCAGCCAATCGCAGCAATGCCATGGCTCTGCAGAGGCAGCTCAACTCCAGCTGTTTTGCACGCTCCACTGAGCGCTGACAAGGTGATGACAGCTCCCGCTGCGAGAACAACAGACTGAGTCAATCGAAACCTCTTTACCCTGTTAATCCAATCAAAACTAGATGTTGTTTAGTCGTTTAGTCGTGTCCGACTCTGCGTGACCCCCTGGACCAGAGCACGCCAGGCCCTCCTGTCTTCCACTGCCTCCTGCAGTTTGGTCAAACTCATGCTGGTAGCTTCGAGAACACGGTTCCACCATGTGATGGCCTGGGATTCCGATTCAGAGGCTGAATCGGAGGAATCCCAGCCTGCACAGGAGTCCCTGCCTCCAGGGCCGGCTGAACTGGGGCAGGGCCTTGATTCTGAAGTGCCTGCACCTGTGCCGGATCCTCAGGAGCAGGCACCAGGTGAATCCACTCTGGCTCCGGAGGTGGTTGAGGACTCAGTGCCTACAGGTGAGTCTCCCCCTGGGCCCAGTAACCCTTCGGCCTCTCCTGAACTGCAGAGGCTCAGGGCAGAGAGGCGAAGGGAACTGGTTTCTCCAAGGAGGAGTGCTCGCCTTAAGGCCAGGAGAGGCAGGTCTCCTGGGGGCCGGGACCGCCCCTGGCCTCAGAGAAGATAAAGGCCAGTCAGCCCGGTCCCAGGTTGCGGGAGCAACGTTATCGATGAGCTGTTTCGGCCAGCATCCAGTCCTGTTCCCCCAGTGTTCCTGTCCCCACCCGGCTTCCTGCTTCGGACCTCACCTCGCTCCTTGAGAACTGTTTCCAGACCAGTGACCCAGGACCGGACTTTGACTACGCCAACGGTAACCTTCCCCCCGGGACCAGCAGTTTGCTCCCGCCACACCCGCACTCCCCCTTCGTTGGGGTGCGTTCGGGAAAAGCCAGGAGCCATGGCCGACCAGGCAGCTGCGCTGGTGGCATTGGCCCAGGAGAACCAGGCCTTGACTCACACCGTGCAGCAGCTCAGCGATGCGGTTACGGCACTTCAGCAGTGGTTGGACACCCTACCGGCTCCTGTGGCCGACGCCCCAGCTCCAGGCAAGTACCCAGTGGCCTTGCCAGAGAAATTTGATGGGGCCCCGGCCAGCTTTCCCATGTTCCTCGCCCAGGCCAAGTTGTATATTCAGGGGCGAGCCTGGAACTTCCCTGACGACTGCACCAAGGTGCACTTTTTGATCAGTTTGTTAAAGGACCAGGCGGCAGAGTGGGCATTGCCGCTGCTCAGGCAAGACTCCCCCTTGCTGACAGACTATATGGGGTTTTGCAACCATTTGGAGGCCGCATTCGGCAACCCCCAGAAGGAGAGTCAAGCCAACTGGGCAATTAGGCGTTTGAAACAGGGCAAGTCCACTGCAGCCGCCTACACCATGGAGTTTCGGCTGTTGGCGCAAGACTTGTCTTGGAATGACTCTGCATTTCGGGACCAGTATCTTGAGGGACTGTCGGATGAGATACTGGACCAGTTGGCCATGATGGATCGTCCCACCACGCTGGACGCCCTTATTCAGTGGAGCCTGCAGATAGACGATCGGTTGGAGGACCGTCGCCAGACCCGGGACCGCCAGCACTCCCGGCTCCTGGCTCCAGTCCTTCCCAGCAGGTCCACGCCCACAGCCGAGTTGCCGGACGAGCCAACGCAGCTCGGGGCTGCGCGACCTCGCCTCTACCCCTCGGAGAAGATGCGGCGTCGGGAGGGGAACCTGTGTCTTTACTGCGGTGGGAGTGGACATTACGCCCGATCCTGTCCCAAGAAGATGCCAGTCGCAGGGAAACCGCCAACCTCGGTAGCCGAAGGCCCTAGCAACCTGGGGTCCCAAACCATGCAAGAGGGGCCCTCACCAGTGGATTTGCGACATCTCATGGTTCCGGTGCGTCTCTACCCTCCAGGTGGGCCCTGGATTCTACCCACGCTCTGGTGGATTCAGGGGCAACCCGCTCCTATATGGACGCTGCCTTTGCCACTCATCATCAGGTGCCACTTCAGAACAAGCCAGAACCGGTACAGGTGGAGGCAATTGACGGACGGCTCCTGCGTTCGGGTGCCGTCACTCGGGAGACCCAGCCCTTGGTCCTGTGTCTCCAGCAGCACCGAGAGGTGCGAACTTTGGACATTGCCTCCATGCCCCGGTTCCCCCTGGTGCTCGGGATGGACTGGCTGGAGGCTCACAATGTTCAGATTGACTGGGTCAATCGGACTGTGCACTTCCCAGACCCATGTCCCCATGCTCAGTCCGAGATGCTACCAGCTGCACCCACTGAGGAGGCTGCATCCCCGCTCCCCGCCGAGTACCGGGACTACCAAGACGTGTTCGAGGAACGGGAGGCAGACCAGCTGCCGCCGCATCGGTCTTTTGACTGCGGCATAGACCTCCAGCCCGGAGCGCCCCTGCCGGTGAGTCGCTTATACTCTCTAACAGAGCCAGAGCGCGAAGCTTTGCAGGACTTTCTGCACAAGAACCTGGAGCGTGGTTTCATTAGGACTTCTACCTCGCCCACCGCTGCGCCAGTGCTCTTCGTTAAGAAGAAATGTGGGGAGCTTCGCCTTTGCCATGATTACCGGGCCCTGAACAAAATTACCATCCCAGACCGGTACTCCTTGCCCCTTATTTCGGAGTTGCTGGAGCAGGTGCAAGGGGCGCAGGTGTTCACCAAGCTAGACCTCCGGGGGGCCTACAATTTAGTTCGGATCCGAGCCGGGGATGAGTGGAAGACAGCATTCGGGACCCGGTACGGGCAGTTCGAATACTTGGTTATGCCCTTCGGATTGTGCAACGCGCCCGCTGTGTTCCAACGGTACATCAACCACGTGTTCCAGGACTTGCTAGACAAGTACGTGGTGGTGTACTTGGATGACATTCTGGTTTTCTCCCGTGACACGGCTCTCCACGAGGGTCATGTCCGGACTGTGCTGCAGCGCTTGCGGGAGCACCGCCTGTATGCGAAGCTCAGCAAGTGCGAGTTCCACCAGCGGTCAGTGGACTTCCTTGGTCACCAACTCTCTCCAGATGGGGTGCAGATGGATCCTGGGAAGGTGGCAGCGGTTCGGGAGTGGGCAGCACCTCGGAACCGCAAGGACCTACAGCGATTCCTGGGGTTCGCCAACTATTACCGGACCTTCATTGCAGATTATGCTCATCGCACCACCCCGTTGACCCGGCTACTGCGCCCCAAGACGCCGTTTTCCTGGGACAAGGAGGCAGAGGAGGCGTTTCAGGGGTTGAAAGCCTGTTTCCAGAGAGCACCGATCTTGCAACAGGGCCTTCTGCTGCACCACGGTCGCCTGTATATCCCGCCAGGGTCACTGCGGGCTGAGGTTCTCCGGATGACCCATGATGCCCCAGCAGCGGGACACTTTGGGCGGTATCGGACCACCCATCTGGTAAGCCGTGAGTTTTGGTGGCCCCGCCTGAAGGCTGACGTGGTTCGCTACGTTGCTGGTTGTGATGTCTGCCGGCGGGCCAAGGGCCCTACCGGGCGACCCCTTGGCCTACTTCAGCCGTTGCCAGTCCCACCACGTCCTTGGCACACGGTTTCGCTGAACTTTGTAGTGGACTTACCCCTGTCTCGTGGCTGTACCTGCCTTCTAGTTTTCTCTGACCATTTCACTAAGATGGTGCACTGTGTCCCCTGCCCATCCGTACCCACAGCTAAGGAAACCGCTCAGCTGTACCTTCAGCATGTCTTCCGCCTGCATGGCCTACCTGAGCGTGTGGTGTCCGACTGGGGCGTTCAGTTCACATCCCGGTTCTGGTGAGCATTGCACCAGACCCTCGGGACAGAGGTCTGTCTCTCTTCAGCCTACCACCCACAGACCGATGGCCAGAAGGAACGGGCGAACGCGGTGCTGGAGCAGTACCTTCGGTGTTACTGCAGCTACCAGCAGGATGACTGGGTTGACCACCTAGCATTGGCGGAGTTCACCTACAACAACGCGGTGAATGCGTCCACCCAGCAGACCCCGTTCCAGGCCCGTTACAGTTATCATCCACGGCTGTTTCCGGATGTGCTGCCGGCATTCGCGGTCCCTGCGGTGACGGAGTGGCTTCAGGAGCTCCAGTCCCAGCAACAGCTATTGATGGAGCAACTGCGCCAGGCCAAGGAGGCGTACCAGGCCCAGGCCGACCGCCACCACCAGGTGGGGCCAGAACTCCACGTCGGTGACCTGGTATGGCTCTCCACTCGCCACCTCCACCCCTCTCGACCTTCGCGGAAGCTGGACGCCCGTTTCACCAGCCCGTTTCCTATCGTGGACCAGGTCTCGCCTGTAGCATTCCGTCTCCAGTTGCCTGCAACCCTGAAGGTTCACCCAGTATTCCACAGGTCCCTTCTGAGTCTGGTGGCCCCACCCGACGAGTTCTACCCGAACTGTCCCCGGCCGCAGCCAGTTTTGGTTCGGGGGGAGCCTGAGTATGAGGTGGAATGCATTCTGGACTCCCGATACCGCAAGGGAAAGCTGCAGTATCTCATAGACTGGAAGGGGTATGGACCGGAGGACCGTTCCTGGGAACCAGCAGCCAACGTCCACGTGCCTGCCTGCCTCCGAGATTTCCATGCGGCGTACCCCAGCAAGCCGGGTCCAGACCCTCGATTGAGGGGGGGGCCTGGGAGGGGGGATGGTGTGATGGCCTGGGATTCCAATTCAGAGGCTGAACCGGAGGAATCCCAGCCTGCACAGGAGTCCCCGCCTGGACCGGACCCACCGGACTACGCCAACGGTAACCTTCCCCCCGGGACCAGCACACACCATCTCGTCCTCTGTCGTCCCCTTCTCCTTGTGCCCTCCATCTTTCCCAACATCAGGGTCTTTTCCAGGGAGTCTTCTCTTCTCATGAGGTGTCCAAAGTCTTGGAGCCTCAGCTTCACAATCTGTCCTTCCAGTGAGCACTCAGGGCTGACTTCCTTCAGAATGGAGAGGTTTGATCTTCTTGCAGTCCATGGGACTCTCAAGAGTCTCCTCCAGCACCAGAATTCAAAAGCATCAATTCTTCGGCGATCAGCCTTCTTTATGGTCCAGCTAGATACAATGTAGCAATGTCAGGCCAGGCCACTTCCGAAAAGAACCATCTGTCTTAAAAAAGCCTAAAACACTTGGAAATTCATAGAAAATCACTGGTTTCACTGATTCTCTTCATTCCACCGCCAGTCTGCTTCGTTGGCCAAGGACTTGGGAACCCCTGGGTCCCCGCCAGAATTCCCCAAGCGGGAGGTCACCTACTCACAGGAAGGTACTTTACCCGTAGGCGACAAACGCTGGGCAAAAGCTCTCCTCCGGACTTACCCAGGCGGCAGACTATGCAAACCAAAGTTCTATTTTCCTCTTGCAGTAGGTGCTTAGAATGTACTTCCCAAGACATATCCTGTATTTGCATTTTACCCCAACACATTCCTCCTATGTTAATCATGTATAACCCTCCCCTTTTCTGATGGAGTGGTGATGTTTAGCGAACTGTCTGCTGGGATAAGATAGGCACTTTTAAAAGTCCTTGTCACCCTGTTTGCGGGGTTCAATTCCTCTCTGAACCTGTTGCGCAATCAACTTTGGTCTACGCTATTTGCTCCGGTTGGTGGCTGGACTCCTTCTTTGTTCCGCAGGGACCCATGGGCTTTAAGCAGCCTCCCACCTGGATTTTTCCGTAACAACAGAAACTAGACTCTAACCCTCTTGAGAGAAGAAAGGTGGCTTTTGCTCCCACTGCAATGTTGCGGGCACACGCGCTAAACCCTGTCTGTGGTGCCTACCCCTTTTCCCAAATGATAACACAAGAGACCAGAGTATGGGTTCAAATTGGCCACAACTTTATTGAACTTCAGAAGTGGGAAACTTGGCACAGGCCTTGGCAGGTAACCCTCTCAGCCCGCCTGGCTGAGGATATGCAGGCAGTTGAGGCCCAGTGAGAGGGGACTGCAAAGTGCAAACTTACACAGCATGCCCTTCCGCTGACCTCGTCCGGGGAGTTTGACCTACATGCCGCTGCTCTAGGGCCAGGGACTCCCGGTTTGCCCTTTAACGGGCCCTGCACGCGCCGCCGCATGGGGAGGGAGCATGAATGCATCCCCCCCAACTTGATGTTAGACTAAAGGCTACCTTGCCAAGGCCTAAAACTGCCACTCGAGGCCCTAAGGGGTCTCGCCGCCAAGTTCCACAACCGAGGACCAATTAAACCCCACAATCTATCCAGTCCCCAAGGGCTTGTCGCAAGTCGTGGAGCCAGACGTCATTGCCCAGTGGGGGCAGGTGCACCCCGTCCCCCCGGAATAGGTCAACTCTATCTGATGTGATGGTGGGATGTGGGATAGAGAACCCACCAATTTGGCGCATGGTGTTGCGCATGGCCCTGTTAATTTTACTCACCGCATAATTGAGGCGAGAGGGATTGGAAGCCCCCCTCCAGTGAAGATGGGGTAGGAGATTGGACCAGCCGATGGTAATTGATGGGTCCAAGGCATGCAGGCTTTTTAGATCTGCCCTTGCAGCAAGGGTAAGGGCAATGCCTTTTTGCTCCACTAGATCGTTCTCCCCTGCATGTATAATCAAGACCCTTGGAGGATCATGGGTCACTGCTGCACTACGCAGCATGGGCATCAAGCTCCGCCAACGCATGCCCCGCTGGGCCATCCAATAAAAGCGTACCTTGGGGTGGATGTTAAGGTTAAGGCCACAATTTTGAGACCATGCATAATCTGCTGCCCAATGGACAATGCTGTGGCCTATCACCCAGATCTTCATGGTGGGCAAACCTGTAAGACAATTAAATTGCAAGTGATAAGGAGGAGGAGCCGGGACGAATGTAACTTTTGTAGGCTGTCGAGCGCCAGCGGCCCAGTGTCTTGATGTGTGCGGGATCCCAACCCTGTATCGCTGCTGAAGTAGCAGCCCCGATACGAAATGAGTGCCCAGAATATTCCTGGGGACTAACACCGCAAGCAGATAAGGCTTTGCGTAAAACCGCTGTGAATTGTGATCGCGTCAACGGGCGCGTGTTTGAGTGAATGAAGAAAGGGCCCTTGCACTGGGCCGGACCCTGAAGAAGCGGCATGTGTCGCAATATGGGCAGGGGCCCGCCTGTTCCGTTGGGGACAGCGCGAGCGTGACCCCTTTCCGCAACTGGTCAGTTTTTGAGGACCGAATCTTAACATTCAATGTATGCCCAGAGAACTTGATGTCGTTATCTGCCAACCCTGATTGCAGGGGCCCAGCCAAACACTCCCTAATGTGCATGGCACCAAAAAAGGCTAGGGAAAATGCTGCCCGAAAGAGACGCGTTTCGAAATTTGACCAGCAGATCTCTGGTAGTTTTTTCCAAATTAGATAAAGTATGTCTATGGTGATAGGCTTCCTGCCATCCTGACGAGGGGGAATGACACGCCGCCACCCAGCCAGTAACTTCTTGACATGGAAGCTGTCACAGGGGTCCGGCTAGTGACGGAATTTACAAAAGAAAGAAATAGCTGCCCTGTAAAGCATTAAAGTTTTTATGGCAAGGCCCTTGAGCTTTAGGAGCACCAAGAACTGAAGCACCTCCTCCTCAGATGCGCGCCGTGTTACAGAGCCACGAAAGCTCCCAAAGGCATCCCAGGCCCTGGAATAAGAACGTCTAGTGGAGGGTGCTATTGCTGCCAATACTCCCTGGTTTACTTCTCGCTTCCAATCTCCCACAGTTCGTCTGGGAAGGCGTCTGGGGACTGGGCTGCTCCTGGTGCCAGTTCGCGGAAACGCTCCATCTGGAAACGAGACAGGGCATCAGCAATGTTATTGTTAAGGCCAGGTATGAAGCGGGCAGTGAAAGAAATATTGTGCCGCAGGCACTCCAGCACAAACAGGCGCAGGACCCTTATGACCCTCTGGGACTTTGCTGACTGCCTAGATATAACTCTTACCACTGCTTGATTGTCAGACCAGAAACAGACCCTGGAATTCGAAAAGAGGGTTCCCCAGATGCAAATGGCGACTAGAATAGGAAAGAACTCCAGAAAGGTTAAATCCCGAGTAATGCCTGCTGTGTGCCAAGAAGATGGCCGCGGCTGGGCGCACCAATGTCCCCTGAAGAACACGCCAAAGCCAAAGCGGCCAGAAGCATCAGAATGAACCTGGAACTCCGCCCCGGGGTTAAGGCACTTCTGCCAAAAAGAAACCCCATTATAATCCTGCAGGAATGCAAGCCAAACCCTCAGATCATCCTTTATCTGCTTTGTCACCCTGATGTGATGGTGGGGGGCTACCCCCCCGGCTGTGAGCTGTGCCAGACGGGCACAAAAGGCACGGCCTGGCACCACTACTCTACACGCAAAATTAAGATGACCCAACAGGGATTGCACCTGGCGAAGGGTGGTCTTCTTAACCCCAAGCATTGCCTCCAGCAAAACTTTCTCTTTTTTTTAATGATATTTATTGAAAAATTTTTAGAATTACAAAAAGACAAAACAGAAAAAGAAAAATAAATAAATAAATCCATCATTCTCAAATTCTCAACTTTCATTACCTTCTTTCTTTGACCTCCTCCTCCTCCCTTTTCTTGTATCCTAATTAATAATTATTGCAGCAAATCCTTTCCATAATTCATAATATTCTGTCATTACATTACCTTAATCTATTTTCATCTTATCTTATAGAAAACCTTAAAGCTTAAAACTTAAATCTTATTTTTACCAACTTCTCATAACCATAATATTCTTACCTAATTCTTTAAACATTTTTGCTAGAGCCAAGTAATTTCATTTCAACATTTTTCTAACATTCATCAATTTTATAAAACAATCCTAATGATAAAAAAAAAGAAATAAGAACAATCCAATCTTCATCCAGCGTCCCTTCCTCCTGGTCCCGGGTTTTGTCAGTCCTTTTTATCCCATTGATCTAGCGCATTAACCTGGTAACCTTATATCCGAGGCCCTCAAGTCTCTTCCATGTCCCTTCTGCGGCTCTTCTTCATATTTTCCTTTCACTCATGGGAACTCCAGCTTGGTAATGTTTTTGACCCTTTTCAACAAATCAGCCCCTTTTCCATAGTCCGGACTAAACTCCATGTGGTATTTAAAAACATGTTTCAGATTCCCTCCAAAATTAAGAGCCCCCACAGCTCCAAACATCTGACGGCCCATTGCCAGACTCGGAAAGTCCAAACATCCCTGCGTGGGGGGGGGTCTATCCAACCCCCCATTTCCAAACCAATCCAAACTTTATCTTTCCAAATCTGGTTTTTTCCAAGTACATTTGTCAAATCCAAAGGCTCATGTTCCTGCAGGGCCGCAACTCCCTCCATCTCTGGCGCCCAAAATTCAGCAACGTCCTCTTCTCTCATCTGTTCTGTCAGGGCACACTCCTGATTTAATTCCTGGGTGGGCTCCATATAGTTTCCCACTGCCTGTTCAAAAGTTCTGACCGCATTAGTCATCCAATCCGTCTTCTGATTTAACTGATCCAGTAGGGCATTTGTTTTACAGAGAGCACACAACAGAGCTTCTGAAAACATTGTCCTGCAAGGTCACAAGTCCTTTCCCACAATTGTAATCTGTGACAGCTGCAAGCTCCCTGGAATTAGTTACAGTTTCACAGTCTCCCTCTAGGGGGAAAACTTCTGTTTGTTCTTTCTTTTAAGTACAATAGCAACAAAGTTTCTTTTTTGAGATATTTTGTCAATATTTGTTCCTTTAAAATGCGAAAGGAAACAGTGGAATCACTGTTACTCTTCTTTTAGCTGTCTGTCAAAAACATTTGTCTCTGGTCAATGAGCTTCAAACGTCAGTCCTGACACCCTGCTCCAGGATCAGGACGGTGGAAAGTTACTTTACTTTAAACTCACTTCTGCAGGTTTAAACAGTCCAAAAAAGATCCCCCTTCTTCTCCTGCTACCGAAGGGTGGTTCAACAGTTTTAAATGATGAAAGCCAATCCTTTAGAAGTGATTTTCTAAGCTCTAGTTTACGTTGTCTTTGCTTTATTCTGTCTACAAAGAAACGGAAGGCTGACTTCCTGTTTAGACCTTCCCGTTTCAGTACCAAATTAAGGTACATTTTTAAGTCCAAATTCCTTTCTGCTCGCCAGTCCTTATTTAAAGTCCAATTGTTCAAAGTTTAAGTACTCACGGGTGATTATTTTAGATGCCAAATTGTCCCAGGAAAAAGGCAGCGCTCTCCGGCAACGGCTATGCGGCTTCGCTCCACAGAAAAAGCAATTGACTCACAGCACCGCGCCACTTCCCCCCTCTTCGCTTCGGAGCCCGTTAATGGGTTCCTTTGCGGGTTGGGGGGGCGCTAAGGGTGCCCGCCGAGTCCCATGGTCACAGGCTTCATCCGCCTGTGATTTCTAAAAGGGTCCCCGCTTCGCCGTAGCGGAAAAGACCCGTTTCGCGCGGAGCTGGTCCCTCCAGTTCAGAGGGAATCCGCCATTGCCGATGGCGCCACCCCGGAAGTCGCCTCCAGCAAAACTTTCAAGGTTTCCAACTTGGTTTGCGGTAGGCGCGACGACTGCCGAATTGTGTCCAATTCAATACCCAAGTAGGAAAGGAGAGTCGAAGGGCCCTCGGTCTTGTCAGCAGCCAGAGGTATGGCAAAGTCAGCTGCAAGGCGCATGAATGTAGCTAGGGATAGGGCACAGTTGGGGGAGTCTGGGGCCCCAATGATAAGAAAGTCATCTAAGTAATGGATCACAAAAGGGCTGGAGGAGCTGTCTGATGAACTCGAAACCGGTGACCTATGCCTACGCCTACCCTCGTGGGAGCGTCGACGAGGGGACTTAGACTTACCTTTTTTTAAAAAAAAAAAAAAATTATTAAAGTTTTAAACAACAAAGAAAGAAAAAAAAACATACACAATACAAATCTCAAAAAGAAAATAAAAAAAACACAAAAAACAAGATTCAACAATAAATAAAAAAAAACATAAGAATTAAAAACAATATCTCTTTTCCATTTCCGTTTTTAAGTTTACTTATTTTCTGGACTTCCTCATACCTCCCTCTTTTGTATTCCAATCCAAATTGTTTGTCCAGCAATTTCTTTTCCACTTTTTTAATCCCAATCTTTAACTTTAATATAATATTAAAATATATAACTTCAACTTCTTTAAACCTAATCTTTAGTCTTAGTGTAATATAACATTAAAAATTTCCCTCTTAATTGTCAAATTTCCATTTCTTTAAGCATCTTTAATCCTAATCTTTAATCTTAGTCTATCATTAACTTTAACCTGTACAGCTGGAAACCGCTTATTTTCAGTCCAACATCACTCTAACATTCTTTAATTTTGCAATGTTTCTGAAGATAGTCTTTGAATTTCTTCCAATCTTCCTCCACCGACTCTTCTCCCTGGTCACGGATTCTACCAGTCATTTCCGCCAGTTCCATATAGTCCATAAGTTTCATCTGCCATTCCTCCAGCTTGGGAAGTTCTTGTGTCTTCCAATACTTTGCGATGAGTATTCTTGCTGCTGTTGTTGCATACGGGGACTTAGACTTATCTAAGCGCTCCTTAGCCCTAGCCAGGCGACGCTGCAGGATGCGGTTCTGACGCAGCAATTCCTGCACATCGTCGTCACTGGACTGGGAAGAATCGCTCTCAGCAGTGAGCTCCTCTGTGTATGCCCGCTTTTTCTTCTTAGGAAGGGCCCTGTAGGGCCTGGCATCAGAGGTGGAGGGGGGCCATCATCCCTCACTTTTTTCTTAGAGATAAATAACTTCATAGGTGGGACCTTCCGGCTGGAAGACAAGGCCCTTTTTTTAATCCTGTTGGCTGCCTTTACTGCATTGCTAGGGGTACCCTTCGATGCGGCTCTTGGGGTGCCCACCCCTACGGCACCAAGAGAGTGCGAGGGGGAGCCTTCTCTTTGATCAGCAGCCACGGCTAGAGACATAATGCACCTTGAAGCAAGTCAACCACTACTAAGACCTAGAAATACCTAAGTATGATGGCAGTTTGTTGTATTTGTTTTTGTTTGTTTGTTTGTTTGTTTGTTATATTAATTACAATTATTAGATTTATTTATATTTGCAATCGGAATGTTTTGGTGAAAGACAGAACCAGGCAACCTAACTGCGCACAAACGCTAAGACTGCAAAAAATAGAGACAGTTAGCACACATCCTGAAGACCAACTTTGGGGAACGGGGGGGGCGGGTGGAAGCATGACCGCCATGCGGCCTGACTTAGTTCCCCCCCCATAAGGAAAAACTGAAGTGGGTTGCCCTGCAGCCCGGCGAGGCACCCCCTCCTGAGCGTGATTCAGCTCAAAAAGGTCGCCTTATGGCCCACTTCTGCGGGTGGCAAAACAGCAGGCCAGCCTAGCGGCCCAGCTGAGGCCCGCGCCACATTTTGGCCAGCAACACCAGTGTCTGGCAGCAAAAACAAGCAGGCAGTGGCTGCTGCCTAGCTGGGGCCTGTGCATCCCGCTCGGGTCGGCAGCAGCAGCTTCAACAAACCACAACAATAAGCCTCAACAGACAAATTAAATCATAAATCTCAACAGGAGGAATGGCAGATGAAACTTATGGACTATATGGAATTGGCGGAAATGACTGGCAGAATCCGTGACCAGGGAGAAGAGTCGATGGAGGAAGACTGGAAGAAATTCAAAGACTATCTTCAGAAACACTGCAAAATTAAGGAATGTTAGAGTGATGTTGGATTGAAAATAAGTGGTTTCCAGCTGTATAGGTTAAAGTTAAGGATAGATTAAGATTAAAGATTAAGATTAAAGATGTATAAAGAAATGGAAATTTGATAATAAAAGGGAAAAATTTAAAGCTATATGATATTGAGAGTAAGGATTAGGTTTAAAAAAGTTGAAGTTATATATTTTAACATTTTATTAAATTAAAGATTGGGATTAAAAAAGTGGAAAAGAAACTGCTGGACAAATAATGTGGATTGGAATACAAAAAAAAGGAGGTATGAGGAAGTCCAGAAAATAAGTAATCTAAAATTGGAAAGGGAAAAGAGAGTCTGTTTTTAATTGTTATGTTTTGTTTTTATTGTTAAGTTTTGTATTGTTTTTTGTGTGTGTTGTTTTTCTTTTTTTCTTTGTTTAAAACCTTAATAAAATCATTATAAAAAATAAATAAATAAATAAATAAATCATAAATCTCAACAGAGCCTCCTGGGTCAGCAGGACCTCCTGCGGGGGCAATGCCGCCCCCGCCACTGAGAAAGGGACTAGGCCGCATTTTGAGGCCTAGTCAAGCC